TGCGAGATAGATAGATAGATAGAGAGAGAGAGAGAGAGAGACAGAGAGAGAGAGAGAACGAGAGAGGGAGGATGGAGAGAGAATGGGGGCACTCCGTACAAAGGACGGAAGAAATCTCCTAGCTGGCTGACATCTTCATAACAGGAGCCTGATTTGTCACCTACGTAATAATTTGCATATTTCAAACCCAGTGCAGGCCTACACCAACGTTTTAATTCATCTTTTCCTCATTGCATCGCGCAGAAGCTGTTCTCCCCATGAGCGTTAGTTGTAAAGTTTCAAGCGAGAATGAAACGATGCGGAAGAAGGTAGGGTACATGAAAATACGGTAAACATTGCACGCGGAAAAAAAATCGGGTATAGAACGTCGAGCAGGTATTTTCGATCGATAAATAGATTAAAAAGGCCTGAGATTCTTATCGGGGGCTATGGCGGGGTGGGGTGGGGTGGGGTGTGGTGGCCCTTTTGTCGCCGAGGCGAAGCTGGAATGCACAAGGCACATAGGAAAGGGACGATACCTCATGCCGTGGGCTCGACATTCAGTGACTGTGGCCTGCTTCAAGAAACATGGCGTTTGCGTTACTCCTTGGAGGGCTAGCCCAGGCTAGCTTGGTGGAACTTTCTCTCAACAGCAGGTAAGTTCCAGCTTAGTTGTTTGGGTTTTTTTGTTTGTTTGTTTAAAAATTGCAAACAATATAGATCTAGTTTTTTTTCTTCCTCACGTGTGTGTGCTTCATAGATAAGCAACTATTATACATGTACCAGCAGTATACTCAGAAAGTGTTGGTAGCTGAAGATCATTCATTCAAACAGAAACTCCGTGCTTCAGCGCCCACGCACTTCGCCCGAGATCACTACAAACAAAATATTTTTTGGGCCCCACCTTAAAGCTGACAGCACTCGTAACAAGCACATTGTCATTCTGTTGTCTAAATTTGTTCTACAGTGGTTCAACTAAGCTCCTCTGTCGTCAGGTTTTCTAGAACTTATCACTGGACTGTTATAGAAGAGTTGGTATGAATCAGATGATAAATGTAGCCTGTAGTTTTTTCTGTTTCTTTCGCTCAGTAACGTCAATACTACATTATACAAAACAGCAATGTCTGCTTTCTTTTTAATCCAGTGGTGATTATATAATTCTGTATAAAGGTAGGGTACTCCTAATTTAGATACCAAATTTTGAAGCATGGGTGTATACGTAACATAATTTGTGTTGTGGACACACTCGACATACACACACACACACACACACACACACACACACACACACACACATTCATACAAAATAAGTTTTGTATGTAAATATAATTAAATTATACATGATACATACTATAGTATGTCATATGATATATTATGGATAGGTAGATAGCTAGGTAGATAGATAAAAA